ACGTTGGTACGACCCCCCCCCCCCTCCCAGCCCTCTGTCCTTCCTCATCGAACCGAGCCGTCGAGCGGGGGGGGGGGTCGTCAGAATTAAACTATCATTTTCAAGTGTCGGAAATAGTAGTGCGTCCGTGAACCCTTGTGATATCACAACGATGGCGTACCCTGCCACAAAGACAAAAGGACTCGCTTGCTGGGGATTCCCGTGGTTCCCCCTTAATACGTTAGCGTCAAGTGCTCTTTTGAAGGTAAAGTTGAGAAGAAGGGCGCAGCCTTGCAATAAAGTCCGGGAGAAAATGTTATTCACCCGAGTCGGGTTTCTTCGGTCTGAAAAAAGTCATAACTGTTTGAGGACTGTGGAGGAGTTCTGCCCACGTGCCATTTATACATCAGGCAAAGCTTCTACTGCTGCAGGTTTGACAGCTGCTGTGGTTAAGGTAGGTCACCACTTCTTTCTTGAAATTCATTGGAACTTACAGGTCTGAAATTCCTTGTTGTAGGATGAAGAATCGTTCGAGTTTGTCATCGAAGCAGGCGCCTTGATGTTGGCTGATAATGGAGTCTGTTGTATTGACGAGTTCGATAAGATGGACCAGAAAGATCAAGTTGCTATTCACGAGGCTATGGAGCAACAAACTATAAGTATAACAAAAGTAGGTTTACTCAAAAGATTTTGCATTCTATTTGCTTAAATGGATTATGATTTTAAGGCTGGTGTGAAAGCGACGCTTAATGCGCGTGCTTCTATCCTGGCTGCAGCGAATCCTGTTGGAGGTAGATACGATCGTTCACGCCCGTTGAAGCATAATGTGCAGCTGTCCGCACCTATTATGAGCAGATTTGATTTGTTTTTCGTGATGATCGATGAGTGTAACGAGGTCAGTTCATCAGAAAATGTTGCACTCTTCCCATGGTTTCGTTAGTTTGATTCAAATCTCTTATTTAGGTGGTTGACTATGCTGTAGCGCGACGTATTCTCGATAATCATCGTGCTATTTCTGATCACATCCGACGCGAAACAAAGTACACACTTGAAGATATTCAGAAATATATCACGTTTGCGAAGTGCTTCAAGCCTCAGGTTTGCTTTGTTTCATAGATTTTTAAATCGACTATTTCTGAATAAGAGTTAGAACAGGCGCTGTTCGGCCAGGGGGAGCACTTTTGCCGGTTCCTGTTCTTTTGAACTAACAGGTTCCACTTTAATCAGACCTGTGAACTACTGTGAGGCTGGGCTGCGAACTTGTTCGAGTGAGCCACTTCGATCGCAGGAATTTATAGGTCTTCACAAAGTGGCTTGTATAAACTTAGCTGAGAATGAGTGGCATTTCGGTGCCCCCCGCCTTCACACATGCACTCACCCACAAGGCCCAACTGTGCTCTTGACATACGTAGTAGAGGACCTGAACCATTGCCGACAACAGGTACATAATTAAGGAACACGCGAGATATGTGAATCGGAGAATCAGCGAGTTGGCGAAAAGAACAGACCGAAAATAGTTCAGCAGTCCGGCTCCCTTTCCGTTTTGGGAAATGGGAGTTCAGAGAATTCACGAAGGGGACTACATGCAAATGGATCGCGTCGCCTTTTCCACTAGGCAACTTGATCGGTGTCAAATCGTTCTTGGAAATTTCTGCGATTCCACGATTCTCCCAAAGCCCACAAGGACGAGACTGAACAATAACTTGCATTCATCCGTTCTGCAACCCTCTCATTTCTGCGAGTTCAGGATTGTTGAAATCGTCTAAAGTACAGTTATTTCAAAGACCGTCCATCGCCGCTGTCCTACATGTTATACAAGCAGCCTCACACTCTCGCTTCCAGATTAGCCCTGAAGCGGCCGAGTCGTTGGTCACGTCATACAAACGCCTTCGTATGAATGACAGTAACAATGCAGCAACTTCTTCATGGAGGATCACTGTGCGACAGCTTGAATCCCTCATACGACTTTCAGAAGCTTTGGCTCGTCTGCATTGTGCCGCACAGGTATGATATGGTGATTACTGCTCTCTACATAGTGCAACTGATTAAATCTAGAACTTTCGCAGGTCAGTGTGGAGCATGTAAATCAAGCTTCGAAGTTGCTCAGCAAGTCGATAGGAGGTATTGCTCGCGAAAATTGTTCTTGAACCCTGTTGGTGTGGGTGTCTCTGCTTCAAAGGGGTGGAGGATCACTTCAAGAAATAACTGTATTTCGTTCAATGTCTCACTACGCTCTGGATTTATTCGAAGGAAAGTTCGAGGCCAGTGGAGTTAGTAATTGCGCGGCTAGGTCTGTTCGGCTGCGTCTTCCCTGTTAGACAGTAGTTTTCTCCATCAGGTCGAGCCATGGCAGGGTACAGACGACGAGATTGGATGCAGCGTGCTCAAGGCATACTCACTGACTCCAGTTGCCCCTGAATTTTGAGATTTCCGTTCTTCATTACCGCAGTCAGAATGCGGGCTATATCCTTGTTATTTTCAGGGTCGAGCAACCGGATATAGCTCTCGATGATGATTTCGATACGGATGCAATAATGGAAGTTGACGAAGATAAAGAAAATGAAGCTGAGACTATGGAATCGGATGATGTGGAAGGAAAGCGAGCGAAGGTAGGGTTGCAGGCTTAGTAAGCTCGGTAAAATCAATAATGTGAAGGGGTTCAACCTTACCAGAAAGTGGTTTTCTGGGAGAAAGTAAATGTAGTAGTTTTTTGTCGAAGCGTACAGTCCGGGAAACAAGACTTTATCTAAATGAGAAAGAAAGCGGCTCTTTTGGCAAATCTTCCGTTGTATATTGATCCTACGAACTATTGCACCACTCTGGGACGCAATTTTACGTCGCTAAGGAGAAAGTAACGGATATTTACTTTCTCTGCTTTATTGTACTGTCACTTTTTATTTTCTAGTTTTTTTTTTGCTTTTGTAAATTCAATCGATTCAAGGTTGATCATGCTAAGCTGAAGATTACATTCGAAAAGTACAAGCATCTGGCCGATATGCTTGTGCTTCATATGCGCTCGGATGAAGAGGCTGTAGCCGAGGAAGATTATGAAGGCGTACGACAGGATGCTTTGATTGATTGGTGCGTTTTTTTTTTCACCGCTATCAGAAATTTCAAGCCGATGTTCAGCGTGGAGGGGGCATTTCGCACTTTGGCTAGTTCGTTTTCTTGGTTCATGTTAACTAACAGGTTTAATTTTGGTCATACCTGTGCACTCCTGTGACGATAGGCAATCTCACGATTGAGCCACTTTGTTCACAGGGATCTACAGGTTTTCGCAAGGTGACTTGCAAGCTTACACTCCATA